TAAATAGTAGTACAATAATGCTTAATTATTGGTCACTTTTAATCACGTGAATAATAAGTCTCACAAGGGGGGGGGGGGGGGGCAATAGTAAACTATAATGACATGATATGTGTCACTCCCCTTATGATATATTAATATTATTATAGAACAATATTAATAACTTTAAAATTATGTTAAAATAATATTTTAAAGCTAAATATATAATACGTTAAAAAGTATTTAACTTATATTTAATAACTATTACTTTTTTTATAAAATTCTTAATTTATTCTAAATAGATTTTAAAAATTAGATAGTTTAGAATTAAATATTTTTTTTTTGAATTTGAGTTAAAGTATTTTTTGATCTTTTAACTAATATATAAAATCTAGCAAAATATCTTTAAATATAATTTTTAACATTATATTTCTTAAAATATACTAATTAAAATTAAATTAAATTTTTAAAAATAATCTCAAAAAATAATATATGAAAATTTTATTAATTTAAATCACTAAATATTAATACATAAATAATTTTGATAAATATTTTTATTAAAATATTAAATTTATTTTTTTTATATTTAGTGATTTAAATTAGATAATAAATGAATTAAACTCTTTATAATAATTATTTGTTTATAAATACCTCTAATAAAAAAAGAAGTAATTATGCTAAAAATTCTAAATTATATAATAAAAATACTAAGAAAATAATACAAAATAAATATAAATAACTTCTAAAATTATTAAAGTATTTCAACTAAAATATTATTATAAATACTGAACCTATTTCAAATAAAAAATAATAGTATAAATCTTTACTAAATTATCAATAATCAACTTTATTACTATAACATTATTTTATTTTACATAAGATATTATAATTAATGCATTAAAAAGATTAAAATTACAATTTATAATTACAGTAGATATTATAATAAATAAATGTTTTGAGTTATTTAACGAAAATTCCTGAAGTGGGACGAGTATTACTAAATATTCTAGAAGAAGGTCTTGAATTACTGAATATTCTAGAAGGGGGTCTTGAAGTATTACTGAATATTCTAGAAGAGGGTCTTGAAGTATTACTAAATATTCTTGAAGGAGGCCGTGAAGAATTACTAAATACTCTAGAAGCTGGTCTTGAAGAACTAATATTTAATTCTGAAAAAACTTTTGATACAGGACGTGAACGATTTGGTTTGAGTCCATTTCTTAATTCTCTTATCGTTTCATCTAAATCTCCTTTTGCTGCAAGTGCAGTTAAATTTGGTGGTGGTACTTCAGAAGGACGACGTAAAGTCTATTATTATGCGTTAAATTTTAAGGTGAGTAATTTGTTGTGAAAATTAGAACTGAAATTATAATTAGAGCTATTTGAGATTTTGTAATTACCAAACGCGATTGTTTTTCTTTCTCGGCTTTCTTCTTGGTTTCTTCATTTTCTTGATTCGCTTTCTATAAAAGAGTTATTGTGTCAGAAACATATATAATAATTATATAATACAACTATTATGATACTTACAATTAAAGAAGAACCAAATGACACAATCATACCAAAAAATTCTTCGGGTTTCGTAGTGATTGGATCTTCACCATAACAAATTAATAATTCTTTTAATTCTTCTTCCAATTTTTGAGTAGAATCTTGTATATTTATGATTGTAGGTTCGGCTTTTTCCACAAATTCCTGCATATTCATATAAAAAAAACCCCATAAATTTCATATTCAAAAGTAGATTAAAAATTCTTTATGATATTTTACCTCCATATTTTTAATAAAATAATCATTTTGTTTTATTGGAAGATTTTTCATAACGTTAATTTCTTCTTTAATTAAATCAATACCATTACTTAGTTCATTTACTGAAGCTATGACAGTTACAACAGATATTCTTGCTGCTGCTTCTAAATGTGGTAAATCATCCATAAAAGTTACAAGATCGTTTTGTGTTGCTTCTAATGTTGCTGCTAAATAATGCAATAATGTTGTTATTCCTTTTGGATTCTCTACAGCTTTAGTATCGCGGATCTAATATAAATAAAGGATTAAAATATTAGTAAAAGCAAATTTTTTTAAAAATATATATATATATATATTAAGAGTTATACCTTTAAGAGAACATCTAACTTATATCCTGCAGCATTTCCTCTAAACGTAGAATGATTCATAAAATTACCAATAGTTAATATCGTCTACAAATATAAAGAGATTTAAATTAACAATTATTAAAATCTATAAATAAATAAAATCATTTGCCATACCTTTAATAACCTCTTAAATTTTTCGGATTCTTTTAATTCAATATATGCATCATTTAGCAATTCAATTTCCTATATTAAATAAATATATATATATATTTTTTAAAAAAATATATATATATAATCAAACAAATTTATAACATATACCTACAGGTGTCAACTCTTGAACTTCCATTTCAAACCTTCTTCTGTAAATCATACATCCCAATCTTTCAGCCAATCGAGGAATTTCCATAACCTCCCTAAAATATTTTTCGGCATTTCCCAAATTATTAATATCACTATCATAGTCTTTAATTAATTCTTTCTCTTCACTACTAGGTACATAATTTTTTAGACTTCTTAAATTTTCAACAGATAACTTCTCATCATCAATTTCCAATATAGCACCTTTAATTTCAATATAAGAATATTTTATTCTAGCTAACATAATACCAATGTTATTAGCTCGATTAAAATCTAATAATGTTACTACTGTATTTTTTTTCGTGCCAGTTGGTGACGTTGGTGATTTTAACGAGTTATTTATAGCATTTTTTGGAAATAATAATTCGATTTCTGTGTGATTTATCGGAATTTCTCTCGTAACTATAAGAGGTATTTCTTCCCATACTGTTGATTTTAATTTATGTGGTGGTATTTTACTCCAAAATAATGCTTTTAATGGAACTTTTGGT